AGAGCCGCGGCGGCAGGAGCGCCCTGCCGGCTCAGCAGCCTTGCTGAGCTCCTGACGAGCAAAACGCATCCTCCAAACCTGCATGTCGCAGGTTGATCAGTGAGAAATACGTAGAGAAATCTGAGGATGATAACTGGGAAAAATAAATGAAAACTGGTTAGGTTCATGTGACCACCTTGAGCTGAGGTGCAATAGAAGCTTATGAAAAAACCTTCTAACATCATGAATGATGCAAAAAATTCAGAAATGTATCGATATCAAATATCTATTTAAAATATAATTGGAAGAGAGAGTGTTCTTCTGTCATGACCGACGCGCTGTGCGGGGTCCTAGGCATTTCGAAACGTTCCGCAGCACAAGTGTTCAGTAAGTTATTGGTTTTTGTATTTGAGGTAAATATGTCCTGTCTTTTCAGTTTCTCATCACTTGGAAGCTTTTCTATAGCTGATTATTTTCAGAAGTTGTCCTTGAACTCCCTCTTTTCTGCCATCCACTTTAGGGATAGGGAAGATGGAACTGGAGAGAAACCCCTGGGACCAACTGGCCTAATATTGCAGGCCGTGCAAGGGACATGATTGTTAGAAAAAGGAACACAAATTCTGGGGTGTATGGAGGTGTCTCACTGAATTTTACTAATGCTATTACCATCTTTTCAGCGTTATTCTACACCGGTTTACTCTCTAATAGACTATCTGCCTTTGCTGTGGTGCTGTATGCTGTATAGGTGTCTCGACTGAGCTTCCACAACAGACTTTATTAAATTGTTACAGTTAGTTTAAAAAAATTAATAAGGTTATGCAAGTCATTTCTGTGACTTTGCTGACCTAAATTCTGTATGTATCTCTATCTAGCTTGGCTGCATTTCTCTGAATTTTGCCAGTAGCCTCCCTGCTCTTGACAATCTAAATAATTTTGTTCAAACTGGCACGCTTTGCCATCCCATTCCATAACTTTTCTTCCTTCCGCAGATTTTTATTGTTCATTTCCGCTGTCTTAGAACTTCTGGCAAGCAAAGTTTATGCATTTCTGCTGTTATTGACCCGTTCAAGTTTTTGGGTTTGTTTTTGTTTTTTGTTTTTGTTTGCAGCACTCCTAAGTTATTGACTCAGGTGTTATTTCACACAGTTTGCTGTTTTACTGTGGCTGGGTATCCTTTTGACCAAGGCTGGGGTAACTGTGCAGGCTGTTGCATTGAAAGGCATCAGGCAGGCATGGGTATTTGCATACGCTAGCTTAATACCAGGGTGAATGCATACTTTCTGTTTACTGAATGTAACACCCAAATGTAGCAGTGCCGTCATGGCTTCTGTTTAACGGGAGATCTGTAAACTTGCTTTCGTTAGGATACTTTTAATATTCTTCTTTACTGGGATTATTTCAAGGACCAGCTGTGTCTGAAGAGCCAGCTGCCAAAATAAAATAAGGAAATCTGAGCGCAGCAGTGATAAAAAGGTAGCGCATCATTTGCTATCTGTTGTCAGCACAAATGGAACAATACTTTTCTCTACAGAGTTGCAGTTTCCTTTTTTCCTATGGGTGTTTCCAACATGCGAAAAATAAACGATAGTGTTGTCTTTTCCAGGACCGGTCTGATCTACTTTATTTGTAAAAATAAAAAGTGTATTTCGGGGTACAATTCCCTCTCCTGTTTATTGTTTCAGCTATCAGGACGTGCGCACCACAGATGTTTTCTCCTATTGTTTTATAGCTAAATTGCAAAAAACCTACAAAGAAAGGAGACAAAGCAGTTTAGGAAAGATGCAAGAAGAGTTTTTTTTTTTTATTTTTATTTTTAGAAACGATCTGACAGTTACCATTATCAGCCAGCATAGTATTGCCATCAGTAATGGGTGTTTCCAACATGCGAAAAATAAACGATAGTGTTGTCTTTTCCAGGACCGGTCTGATCTACTTTATTTGTAAAAATAAAAAGTGTATTTCGGGGTACAATTCCCTCTCCTGTTTATTGTTTCAGCTATCAGGACGTGCGCACCACAGATGTTTTCTCCTATTGTTTTATAGCTAAATTGCAAAAAACCTACAAAGAAAGGAGACAAAGCAGTTTAGGAAAGATGCAAGAAGAGGTTTTTTTTTTATTTTTATTTTTAGAAACGATCTGACAGTTACCATTATCAGCCAGCATAGTATTGCCATCAGTATTGTGTGTTCTTAACCCAGCCTTTGGTTCTCTCTCTGTCATGTTTTCACCGGGGGTGTCTCGTTTGTTTAAAAGATCCACTGAAATGCATGAGGCTGCCCAGGTAAGAAGGGACATGTAGCCAGAGGAAAGGCTTGGTACTTGGGAGACCTCGGCTCAATTCTTTGCCTCGCCGTAGACTTTCCATTTGACCTCGAACACAGTATTTCTTTCCCCTGACAGGTCAGTAAAACGGTGATGTTCTTGTGTAGCTGGTGGTGGCTCGGACACCGCAGGGACAGGCTCCAGAGAAGTGTGACTGATCGGGGAGGGTAGCAGCACCCAGCCCTTGGCTTCCTCACGGTGCCTTTTCCAAAGCTGTGGCTAGTTCATGGCCCCAGCGCGTGCTTTGCTCTGCGTTCGTGGTAGATGTGATGACAGCAAGAATTATAATTCTTTGTACACGCAGAGTCCAGGAAACCATTAGTTGAATGCGAGACACTTTCTTGTAGACATCACAGCTATTACTGCAATGAGCGTCATGTAGCAGCTTACCCATATTCATCTGGGTGTCCCCAGAACCACGGGCGCCGTGTCCCGAGCCCGGCAGCGTGCGTGCTCCAGGTTTGCTCCATGCGGGAGGCACAGCCTCTCCTTCCGGGGGAAATGGGCACCTCGGCACAGCGGAGTCAAGCCTGCAGAGAGCAACGGTTACCGAAAGGGTTATAGTATCATTGGTGCCCCCAGAAAATAACGGGGTGGCTTTTTTCCTGTTGTTACCCCATAGGCAGTTCTGTAGTCACATGTAACACTGATTAGCATCCAGACTGATAATCTTGGTCTATCATAATATTAAAGCTTGCCCCAGTGGCCCGCAGCGCACCAGCAAGGTGTTTCTGCTCGCATCAGAGCTGAAGCTTACAGGCGACAAACAGCGCGAAAAAGGTGCTGTTTCATAATCCATTTTGTCTGAGGAAAAGGAAGACTTTATGCTCCAGGATTTTCGAGTCACCCTCAGTTTAGGACAGTAACTATTTTATGTTTCTATTTTAGACAAGCTATTTAATATTGTTATGATTAAAGAAAAATGCATAAAAAGAATGAAATATGAAGTTACAATAAAATATAGCTACCCAGTGAGAGCAGTAATATAGCTTTTCAGATTGTGTCTTAGCAAGACATTTTATTATATGATGGCATTTATTTTTTCCTGATTGTCTGATCTGGTCAAGCAGCTGCAGGATATAATGCCTGGTAAAGGGCAGATTTCAGATCTCGGCTCTGCGTTTTGTTTGGATGCTGCTAGCGGTAGTCGTTATTCAGCCTAAGCAGTGATCCCGACCCAGTCTGCTGTCTTGCCAGGATTTCCTAGTTACTCACGTTCTAAAGATGCAAGAAACCTACTTTTCCTCGAGTCGTACAAAGTTACCAGTTGTAACGCGCAGAAATAGAAGACGATTGCTTAATTATTTTATAACTAAACTTTCCCACACGTGAAACCAAGCTGGAGCCTCTCCCTGCAGGAGCCGCGACAGGCAGACAAGTCTCCATATCCTTCTCACTTGCTCACACTTGATGCGCCCTGGAGGGTCTGAGCACCCAAGCTGCAACGCTTGGTTTTATTCTGTCATCCTCTTCCTGTAGGAAGGAACAGAGCGGAGTGTTTTAGAGTTCGTTGTTTGCTTTGTTATGATGATTTAAGCCAGTCTCAGTATGGTCAGTGCATAGTTAGTCGTTATAATTTCTGATATGGAAACAATTTTAGTGGTTATGATCTAAAACACAGTGTCATCCAGAAACAGATTATAAATTCATCAGTCAATGTAAAGAAAACGAATTCCTTCTCAGGACTAACTTTCATTACTTTCATGTTTTGAATAGTAATGAATAATTCCACTAATGTTATTTTAGAAACAATTTGAAATTAATTATTATATAACTTTATCCTGCATCAAAGTGGGAGAAACATTACTGTTTCACCTTTCTTTAAATTCCCCAGTGAAAAAACCTTTCATCTCATCCAGATCAAAGGCAGTGCCATCCCTTTATATCTTCCATAAATAACAGTACATTCATATGGATAATTTTGCAATTTACGTGACAGTTATTTTCTTATAAAGGGCCTGATCTAACTCCTATTAAAGTGAATTGATGTCTAGTATTTTATTTGAATAGGAGTTGTCAATCCCTCATTAAAGCAGCTAGCTAATGCAAACTACAGAGCGACACACGCATTATCAAGGTGCAGAAAAGCTCATCCAATTATGAAATGGAGTTTCTGATCACTGCACAGTCATCCTAAACATTCAGGCATAGTCTAATACAACATAATTGTTAATTATTTACCAGACTCTGTATGGGACTGAACCAGTTGCTAGAACAGGACATAAACTAACCCCAGAGTAGCCCTAGGGAATAAAAGCCATTTATAGAGAGCAACGTTTTCTGTCAAATGGGTTTTAAACATGCAAATAGAAATGTCATCAGATAATTTGCCAAAGATAAAACCAGGAACCCCACATTATTTTTTAGATAAAATGTATCCTTGTTGACACCTTACTATCATTTATTGGTAATTTTAGTAATCAAATGGATATCTGATGACCTGGTATGTTCATACTGTAGTAAATTGAGATGAAAGGAAAACTGTGCTTTATAGAAGAGAATTTGCAAGAGAGAAGAGAGTTTGCCTAGAAACTATACTGGCAGATACTAATTCTAACTTGCTTATGCAAACAAACAAATAAACAAAAACCTTTTGTAGTCTTAGGTTAGACACCTGGAAAACTTTCAGCTCATGCTTTGAACTGAGTGCCAGATGCTGAATGTACATCACCTCACCTGGGGAAGTCTGATCTCTCTAAGAGTCACCTGTATTTTCAGGTGGGGAAGACACAGTCTGGTGAGATTTTTTTTTTTCTTTTCCCAATAAATGAAGTTAAAGAAATTTCTCAAAAATTATAGTCAAAACCAGAACTCAGTTATTGTATAGCACTGCAGAGAAACCCGCAATTCAAGGGAAGTTAAATATATAAGGATTTTTAGGGTTCATTGCTAAAGTAGAATGAAAGATGGAAAAGCTGGTGTGGTAATGGAGCAGGTTTCACCAACGCAGCGCGAGCCCCGACTGCAGCCCCGAATGCGGCTGAGCGCTCATTCGCAGACCGTCCACCAAAGGGCCCGCTGCTGCAGAGCCCTAAAGAGTTTATGAATTTTGATCCACCAAGTGATTGCGCTGTGTCACTGACGGGCTGAATTAGAAGAGGTGTCTAAAGCCACTAAAGTACATTTCAGTCCTCCCTGTGTCACGAATTCTTAAGAAGTTTGGGGGGGAAACAGGCAGAAATGTCAAGGGCGATTCCAGAAACCAAATCCTTCTTTATAACTCTCTTTTCCATTTTCTGCCTCTGCGAGTTTCTTTTGCCTGTCTACTGTCTCTGTCTACTTCAGGACCTGTAGCTAATACCATTTTCATCATACACACAAAAAAAAATCTGTTCTGTAATGCTGCCTTGTATATTAATATTGTGTTTTTGTATTATGCTGGGCCTAATGCATTATTTTTATCTTTTCTGAGATTTCTGAACCATTTTGTTCTAAACCAAGAAGAAATTTTGTACTACAAAACATGATCTCGGAGTATGCATCTCCCTTATGTTCACAGTTGGAGAGCACATAATGGTCTTCCTTTTTACATTTACATATGCGAATAAAAATGAACCGAATTTATATGTTAAATAACAGAGTATTCCTCAAAATGTTTTCTTGGAGTTTTGGTTTTCAGCAGCCCAGCCTTTTTTTTCGTAGCAGTTGCCGGAGAGCAGAGAGCTCATCTGTCTGCGATTGGATTAAGGGTATTGTTTGGAGTCCGCCTTTGCCCGGCTGGTGGGGAACAATCAGCCTCGTGCTCCTGAACAGCTGTTTGTGCTACACAAACACCGCTCTCAGTCAGAACGGACCAAATCCCATTTATTTGGTTCAGTGTTGATTTAACTTGGGATTTAGTCTACCTGTTTCTTACTTTTTTGTTTGGCTACTTGGGACTATTTAAAGAAAGTGAAGGATGGTGCCACATTTGCAGATGTGTTCCAGAGTGATTCATTGAAACACTATGGAAATAGTTTAAAATAGATCATGCATCAGGATTTTCCTTCTAAACATCAGTTGTCACAATTTGCAAAAGTAAGAGCAATTTCTCAAATCTGATTATATTTTTTTTTTCTACAAAAATGCAAAGAAATCTCTTGGATTATTTCATTTTAATTCATCTCCCTTCATCTAAATACACATTGCCATGCAACTTCATTCTCAGACACTGTAAAGACTAGAAATCACGTCACCTGTATCATAGTACTCTCCTCCGTATAGGACCTCAGAGACATTATGTTTTTCTAAGTATGCAGCCTGTGTTTTTGAAAGCATGAATGACCTGATGAGCCCTCAGGTACCTGCTGCTCCACAGACGGACAGAAGAGAGGGACGATGCTATAGTTCAGGGCGCCCCAATACTTCCCATGGGATCAAAGCAAACGAGGGTGGGAGCTCTCTGACATCTAACATTGATTCAGTAGAGGACTGGTTCCATCTCAGAAAGAAATATCTGCATCAGCAGTAGAAAATTATTACAGTATTATGGTAACATCAGAAACTACAGCCTGGCTACTCTAGAAAACCCTCTCAGTAGCGTATAAGGATTATAACAAAGAACAAGCTTGTGGTAGAGAGCAGTTAGAACCCAGCAGGTGCTGACTACATACTGCCAATAACAGTTTCATGCGGGCGGGCTCCTCTCTAAGTCTTTGAAAAACAGGTTTTGAATCCTCGCATTGACAGACATAGGAGAAAAAGCTGCCGCAAATAAAACAGAAGTGTCTCTTTCTTTCCTTAGAAGGAATCAAAGATGAAAATACAGCTACAGAGTCACTGAAGTTCACCATGAAACATCTGCGCTCCACAAAGATTTAAAAGTACCATGGCGTTAGCAGAAATGTTATTACTCACAGTTCTGCACCATTCTGCATCAAGCAGAGGTCTTGTATTTTGGGCATCTAGAAGCATGTTTTGCTTAACAGTCATTTGCTGTTTAACAGTTAATATTTGAGCCCATGATAAACTAAGGTGCTTGGCATTGAAACTAAATGGAAAAACAAATGGGATTTGTGCTCCTCCGTTCCTTACTCTCCTTTTCACTCTTCCTAGTTAGTTTTCAGAGAAACTCCTTATGCTTATGCACGGTGCCTCATTCTGCTTCCCGCAGCGTCCCTAATGCGGTGCATCCTGCCTCCGCAGTTAGCTTGTGCATCTCCCCTGCGCTGTGAGACACCCGATCTGCTTTTGTATGCTCAAAATCACAATAGCTAGGAGTGGTTGGTTAGTTAATTGCTTTTTTAAACTGATTAAAGTTTGAAATATGTTTATTTCATACAGTAATTGTAACAAAGGAAACCTGGTGGGTATGACCTATAAAAAGCAAATGGTACGTGTGCACTGAGAACAGTCAAACCCCAATAAGAAGCAGCACAGACGGCATATGGTCCTGTTTACATACACAAAATTAACAGTATGGAATCCAATTAAGAAGATGGAGATAGTCATCATCACATTACACAGTAATTTCCAGAGTATGCGAACTCCAGACTTCAGCGTTTCCGTCTCGTGCTGGCTGATGCTGAACTGTTAGGTTTATCCCGTTCCCTTGGTTTCCGATAATGTGATTGTGGTGAAAGGTCAATAGAGAGCATTAAAGCAGGCAAATAAATGAGAGGTATGTCAGCAGCGCTTTCAGTAGCCTGTCGGCCAGGGTGGACGCTCCGGAAAAGCTTTGCTACTGACAGCGACTGCAAAGGCGTTCCCCGAGCGCTGCAGCTTGGTTTTGTTCAGTCACTGAAGAGTAAGATGCAGTTGTGAAAGGGAAAATATCAAGGCAATTTCTGTCACAAAATTACATGCGTGCGAGAAAACCATTATTTCTACTCTTCCATGCACCACTAATTCTAACAAGGTTTATCCAACACGGTGCTTGGTGCCATGAGAGGAGTTACTGAGGGGTCTTTATCTGGGTTTATATTTGTCTTTGGTATCCTTGCTGCACATGGTCAAATGTCTTCTTTTCATAATGATAATGATAGTTTACAATATTGAGAACTGTCTTGTGGTGAAAAGTGTCTCCTGGGATGTCTTTCCGTTATGGATAGGTATGCTGTGGCACTTACTCGAGTAAGTCACAAACCAGAAATGTCTAGTGCACACAAATTGTACCCTGCAGGAATTACCCGTTAGCAGCTGGATTCAATTTGGCAAAGTCCCGCATTACCCGCAGACTCGTGGTGACACCGGTGACCAGCTCTTAGCTCTCCTCCTTGCTGGGAGTCAGGGTGACCCCAGCCAGCCGCGGCAGCGTTGCTGCACCGGCATCCTGCGCAACGGGAGCGCTGAGCCTCGGCCAGGGAAAGCTGTTGTGTGCCCTTACCACTTACTTTTCCAACAATATTTAACCTAACCTCCGGATTACAGTTCTGTCTTTTCCAGGGACATGCTTAAACTGTAATAAAATCAACACTTAAACAATTAAATAGAGTTTCAGAAAGCTCTAATCCCCTCAAAGAAAATTTTCATCCCAGTTAATGACTGCAAGCTGAAATGCTATGCGTTTAATGAGTTTATCCAAAGAAAGTTTGAGAAGGCTCCTGATGCTTTAGTATAGAAATACTGTACTGCATCTGAATCTGCTTTTATAATTTTAAGAAAATATTACTCCTATTTAAAATACTTACATATCTAACAAGTAATCAACAGAGCTTTAGTACAGCTAATGTTCTGTTTTAGCACCAAGTACACAAAAACCTAAGCTCTTTTGGCTGTTTTTTTGCCAAAATGCATCTCGCACTCATGACATATGAGAGGATTTTGATAATGTAAGAATTTTTTACAACTGCTGTAACTAACAGATGCTGACTAACTTCCCAAAAGAAACCACCAATTTAAAGAACAGTTCAATTCTACCATGACAATTGGAATGGCTTGACATTAATTTAATGCTCTGCAAATAAGGACAATAAATAGAGCCATAATAAGGAAAATAAAGGAGACTATATAGAGGAAATAACGCTTTTGCATGGAATAGCATGTTTAGATATTTCAGATCAAGGCCTATCATGCCTTGTAGTATTCATGTAATTCTAGAGTTTTCAAATTTGTAATTCTACTAATTATTCTCTTCCCTTTCTATAGGTTGTTGATTTCTGTTTATTTAGAAAAATTAAATATGCCTCAAAGTGCTTAATGAGCAGGTCCCTTTTCCTGCCACTGATGTCCCACTTCTGGTTTAAAATCATAGTTTTATTTTAATTAATTTTCAGATAAGTGGAAATGAATATTTTAATAGTGAAACTGTAATTAAATGCAAAACTTTCATTTTGTTTTTGACTAAAAGAAAAATGAAGATAAAGTTTCCAGCAAATATGGAGAGCCACATATACCTGCATGGATTTTGTAGGCTTATGACAATTGAGGACCTGGCCAAAAGAAATGAAAGTTATTGTTCAGAGATAAACCAGAGTCAGTAAAGACAGAGAGTCATTTGCCATATGACATATCATATGGCAATGACTTTCTCTTTATGGCCAGCGAATGACTTTCTTGTTACTGATCAGTTGGGATCATGTAAGGAACCACATTCAAATTTTAAAATTTAGAGTGCACAAAATATTAAGTCCATATTTTGCTCATGGCCACGGTTTGCCCACAGGTGCCCCATGCAGCAGGCTAATTTACAAATGATCTTTTGAGCTATAATGAGTGTATCCGCACCCCAGGATTTATTTTGGTGACAACTGCTACCATTTGTAGAAGAAATTGGCTACAAATGACTTCTATAAACCAGCACACTTTACAGCTTTTTAGGTAACCAGTATGTACCAAAAAGGCCAGGCAAACTGATGTAGGTAAGCTCTTAGCTATCAGCAAAGCTGGAATGAGACGGAACACCTCAAGGCAGGGTTTTGTTTCTTCTCTGTCAGTGTTGGACTGTTTCCTATGACTCTACCACTTTGCTATGATACTTTTCATCCCTTCAGCCAAAAGAACAGGCAGATGCTGCTGTTTCTAAGCAAATTAAATAAAACAGATTTATCTCTGTGACAAAGGATAAGCTCCCAATATTTTTTCTTATGCAAATCTTAAAGCTTCTCTTGGCCATGAACTGTGAAGTTCCTGAATATACCAGTCCTTGCTATTCCTAGGACACTTGCTGTCTAGACAGCCCTAGTACTTCCTCTCGGGCATGGAGCTGAGCCAGAACATTTTGTTTCTTTGTTTTCATTAATAAAGTGTAAATGTGACTCTCAGTATGTGGGCTCTTTACGACTGTATCTGCTAAATGGAGATACTCAAAATGCCTTATTGTTAACAGCGACTGAAACCGGGAGAAGCACAGTACTCCTGAATGGTCGAAACCCTAAAGAGAAGCATCAGCTGAGCAGTGCAGCAGCAGCCATGTCTCTGCCCTTCCGCAAAGAGTTGGAGAAATACAAGAATATCAACGAAGATGAAATACTCAGCAAACTCTCGGAGGATGAACTGAAACAGCTAGAACACGTTCTTGACGACCTTGATCCTGAGGTTAGTAATGGGGGCCAGGGGACTAATATTTCAAATGCTATCGATTACAAATGCCACACTGCAGTGTTTTGTATTTGCGTTGTGCCACAGGAGAGGCAGTGCGCTCTGAGGGACGAACAGCTCAGCCAGGGGCATTTTGGTTTTACTCCTGCTGTGAGGGGCTACTTGCTTTTGTACAAGTCGCGGTGCCCCCTCCGTCCCTTGTCTATTTAGGCACGAGGTGGTCCGAGCTGTGAATCTTGAATCATGTTTGTACAGTGCAGCAGGATGAGATGCTTTATGCTATTTCTGAGCACAGCAATAAACAAACTTAATGGGTGTTTGTGAAGATCGGATCTTTTGAACTTCTGAAATCCATTGTCTGTGTCATTCAACATAGATATTTTTAACTGAAGAGAATATATTTAGGCGTGATTTAGGAAAGGCAGATTCAGCTACACAGCTGTCATTTTCTAGAGAACAAGGATAATTTGGATATCTGAGGAGACTATTACAGAGTGCCTAAAGGCCTCTGGCGTGGGCACCACGCGGTCCTGCAGCAGTGGGTTAAGGGCACACGTTCTTGTGGGAAGTCTGCCTGTACTTGCCACAAAAGCTGCCAGGCTGATGTGGGAGTGCAAAAACCAGCAGATAATCTGTCAGATAAAATTCATTCACTCTGGAGACAAAGTAAAGTGCAAAAAACCAGTATGTTTATAGCCTGTAGTTTTATAGCACAAATTTACCTGGAGATCAAGGGTGAGCTTTGGAGTCCTCCCCTCCGTTCTGCCCACTTTCCTCCACCACTACCACTTCTCAGTGCGTTTTTCTGGTAAGTTCAGGTTATCTGGCAGCTCAAAAGGAAGCACAGCGCATTCCAGAAAAAAAAAGCCACAATGCGTTTGTAGTCAAGCTACCTGTGTGCAGTGAAGCTGCACCATGCTGGACCGTTTGTGATGCCCACACCAAGCGCAGTGTCTGGGGTTCCCTGGCAGGCTCAGAAGCGGCTGGGTGCTTGCTGCGTACCAGCCTCCCCACGCACGTGCTGCCCAACTGTGCAGTGCTTCTGCAGTGCTCGAGGGGCATCTCCAACACGTTGGCTGGACTGCGTATGCGCTGCATGGCCCGTGTGCTTCTGAGCCTTTCTGGCATTTCCTGAGCAGAAACGTGGAGCCTTCTGCATGCTCCTGTATCACGCGATGCAGGTGCAATCGTATGGCCGCACAGCTGCATGGTTAAAGCAGGGCTTCATCTGCTTGCTTCCTGCGTACTCAAAATGGCTAAAGTCCACGTAATTCACCAATTATTTTCTGTGCATTCCATTCATTTCTCAAGTCCGAGAAACAGCATCAGAATGACAGGAATTTTTTGCAAAATGAAAAGAGAGGGATAAAAATGGGAAAAAGCAAATGAAGAGAGGAAAGGTAGAGAAAACTGATCCTGTCCTACTTACCTGGACTCTATACAATAAGGTTGTAGCAGGCACAACATAAAGGATTCTCATCTTGCTCAGTTCTTTGGGGCTATGATTGTAAATACCGTCAATAAAAATATTCTGAGGTGGCAAAAACGAGAAGCCTGGAGAAGATGCTGTTTTTAATGATTACATTTGAGTAATGTGTATTACTGCTGTCACCAGAGAGTATGATGTGAAGTAACATGCAAAGAATAGTTTCCCTTAAAAAAAAAAAAAGAATCGAAATTAAATTTGGGATACTGTGCGAAACTGCATCATCTCCTGTGTGTATGTCCCTGTCTTTCACGTGTGCTCGCAGAACGCCTTGCTTCCCGCGGGCTTCCGGCAAAAGGATCAGACCACTAAAGCTGCCACCGGCCCCTTTGACAGAGAACGCCTCCTTTCGTACCTGGAGAAGCAAGCGCTTGAGCATAAAGACAGAGAAGACTTTGTACCGTTTACAGGGGAAAAGAAAGGTACAGTCCGTCTTCGGGTCCGCGCTGAGCGCCGAGCTGCCCCAAGGCGGGGACGCAGGGCTGCGTGGCCGCCTCGGGAAAGCAGCCCGTGCAGCAGTGGCGGAGGCCGTATTGCGCAGGCTGAGGCTCATGAGTCAGAGCTGTTGTTAAAGGAGGTAAAGCGGTGGTTTTATCTGCGCTGGGGTGGTCTGGCTGGCTACTCTGGAGTTATAAGCCCAGGTTTTGGATCAGGCCCATGAGGGGGAATCCGAACACGCTGACACTGACCCAGCAAAGGGCTGCAGCAGCAGCTTCCCATCCAGCAAATGTGTCCGTCTGAAGTTAAGCATGGTCTTGGGTAGCTTCATTAACTTCACTGGGACTATTCCTATATTAAGCCTTAGGCCCATGCATGGGTACTGTACTAGAGAAGGCGGTTAGGAGAAAAAGCCTCAAATACCTTTCTAAGTAAGCATTATTTACAATCACTGCAAGTAAGAGCTCAGGGAATGCACTTTCAAAAAATAAGTATTTTTCCAGTTGTTTACTAGCACATCTGGCAATGCTATTCACGCAGTGAGTTTCTCTGTTTCCCTTTGTCCTACAGCTACAGGAAAAAAAAAAAGAGAAAAACAGGAAAACCTAATTCTGATCACTCAAACATAGGTTGGGTAGCCTTAGGGTATTTACAGGCATATTTTTAAGCAGACAGTGTTCTTGTAGCACCGTTACCTCCCTTTCCTCATCTGTATACAGTGGACAAAACCACCCACCTCAGGCCACCCCTTCATTCAGGAAGGAACTTAAGTCCAGCCTGTTTCTGAACATCTGATTAATTTGCTGTTATTTCAACAGGACCTGCTTAAAGGTGAGCAGGTATTTCAAGAGAGTCAAGAGCAACATTTGTTATGTATCAGTACTATTTACAAAGGACGTAAAACGTGATTTGCAGGCTAAGAGTTGTTACCACCATTACATTGTGTTCTCATCCTTTGAAACAATGGTTTTAGAGAACAATGGTTTAGAGAACAGAGACAGTTTTCAGCTAGATCTGATTGATGCATTATTTTATCATGCAGCACATTCATTTCCCTAGGTTTTCCTCCATCATAACTTGTGCTTAACGCTATTCACAGGGCTGATTTGGAGCCCACTCAAATACAGTAGCATTGCAGTGATCCTGCAGGTAGCAGGCGCAATCAGGCACATATTGTACAGAAAGGAAAATGATTTGTTGTCATATGGATTGTTTACCAATTGCTTCTCTTTTCCAGTCTTTTATAGACCATCGTTTTAGCACAGCACAAGTCACTGCTGGTAGGCTCCGCATGTTTATACCAACACCATCCGTCACGTCTCCCTTTGCTGATATTTAATGGCTTAGGGCTAAGACTGTGCCGTTTTGCGTTGCAATCATGCCTGAGATCTCTAAACATGTCTGAAACATATGTACACAAAAATGCAAATAGTGGTGCATGGCATTGTATATACCCACAGGACTGGCACTCGATCGGCGTAAAACTGGCCCCTGTGTTGTCCATGACAGTGTTATTCTGCATATTGGGCTGTTTCTTCTACTTGAGTTTTCTTTTGATGAGGCTAAAGCAACATTATTCTTCAATTTGCCCCCACATGTCCTTACAGTTCCTATTAGTGATGTTTATCAATTCCTGGTGTCTCTGGAGTGGGAATACCACTGTTCCACAAACAGAAATAACCACACTTTTCAGTTATCCCTCAGCACAGAGTGAATTCAGACATCCTGGTACTTAGAGCTATTCTTATTTTGGTTTTTGTTTCACTGTGATTATTTATATCAAAGTTACAGTTTTAGGGATTATTATGATTATGAGTTTTTTTACAGGCTAAGGGAATTACTCCCTGAATTTCTCCTGTTCTCATATTAGTTCTTTATCCCTGACAAAATCCTTAATATTAGCCTTAGCAGATTAAATCACACGAAAACAATCATATGTTCCTTGCTTTATGCAATCATTTTACAGTTATAATCTAAACACAAAGAATTCTAATAAATTTTCATTGAACTCAGAGGCCAAATGCCATGAAAATACTCTTTGCTTCTCTATTAGCATTAGAAATAACTGAATTAATCTGAGACCGGTACAATTCATCGGGTTCAGTGCCTTGATATTCGAGAACTGGATAGACTGTGCAGCATCATTTTTGTGCTGTCTCGAAGGAACTGACCTTGGAAAATAATCTTTTTATTTTGAGCTTGCCATATCCTGTATTGGTACTAGTGTCTCTCTCCTGTTGCCCTCTGGCCTGCTTGGCGAGGAGGTTCCTACGGAATGACAACCAGATTTCAAGCCCTGGGCTTGGCTTTGCTGCCTCCCTTTCTTCTCCTTTCCCTTGCTCCGCACTGTGAAGACATCACGATTTCTAAAGCTCAGAATCTGAGCCTTGTAAAACATATGACTGAAATCTCCATCTGCCACATAAACACATACTGAAACCTTCCTACAAATTGTATGGTAGTTCTGCTGATTGGGTGGACCTGATGAAATGTGCTGAATGCTGCCCAAAGGCCAGGCGTGCATGGCTGGCTTTGTATCTAGAATTGGTGCTTCTAACTGCGGCTTTATTTGTTTTGGCAAACGTGATTGAAGAAGCAGTAACAGAGTGACTGTATTAAAATATCAGTGAGTTGATTTTCATTTACAGTAAGATATTTTCTGTGCAGGGACATAAAACAATCCTGCAGAGGCCTCTCCAGTAGATGATACTATATGTTAGATTTCAAGTCACCTTAATTAGAGAATAATTGACATTCTTTCAAAGCTCAGTAATTAGTCCAGGATAAATAATTTATGTTTTGAAAATGTGTCCTCATAAGAAACTCTAGAAGAATATGTCTTGGGGAAGAGCTTATTTTTCACGTTCTGCATGGTGATGGACTCTAAAGTGCCTTTACAGTTTGGTAAATATTTCTATTATTACATTAAATATATGCCCATTAAAAGATTTCTTTATAGCAGCACTATGACGTAGCCGTACTATAAGTAGTCCCAAATTAATTTTAAAGTAATTCTGCTAGTTAAAAATTAAGCACTAGGGCAGCTCCAAAATGGGTATGGTTGTATATAAATAGAAATGGGAGGTGTAGATGCCAATATGCCATTTGGCATTATTTCCCACCTGAGGATATTTGTGTGTCAGTAGCATTAGAATATGCCAAGTGTTGTTTCAGCTTTTGTCACTGTAGTTTGATATTTGCCTTCCACTGGGAAAATACCTATTTTTTTCAAATTTAGGAAGTGGAATGCTTCTTCCAAATGTTAAGTGATATTTTTGCCCGTTCCTGTGGTTATCATGTGAAGCTGATACTGACTTGGAAACTCAGTGGTGAGCTGGAAAGAAGGTGGCATTTGAAATAACCAGCATCCAGAAGAGTCTGCGATGCATTGCTGTTTTTTATGCAGTGTCTCTGCCTTCCTTTTTTTTTTTTTTTGGTTAATGTTTTATTGGAGAGTTCTTGAACAAAAAGCAGTATCAAACGGCTACTGAAGGACAAAATTCAGTTGCCTGTCTTGGTCTTTATATGCTCAACACAACCATAAGGTTTTGATTGTGTTCAAAAACAAGCCAAAACAAATTCCAGGGCTAATGGGGATTTTGAGCATGGTTAGAACACAGGAAGTGTTAAATATGAGCTCGGGCCGGGGGAGAGGGATGATCGTGCAGAGAATTGCCTTGGGTTTGATTGTAATCATGTTTTCGAGAGGTTTGAAGTGTTTAGCAAAAACAGCCAAACGTATGGCGCGCATTAGAGTTTTGGCCCTCTGCTATATTTCAGCTCGGTAACTTCCTACATTAATTGCTGACAAAAAGAAGATTTTAAGCCTGTATGGGATCGCTCTCAAATGTCAATGAAAACCCCAGTTTTGCGCTGAACGAAGACCAGTGTTCACAGCCTGATCGGATCACACCCAAACTGGCCATTTGTTCAGACCGCTGTACCCCATATTCTCTGAGTACCAGTGACCTTTCAGCCATCTGCCTCTCCCTGATCTGCACCTCCGTGAGCCAGGGAGTGGGTACGTCATTTGAGTGTCCCCATCACAAGTGCCTGCTCCTGTCTGTGATATGCAAAAGCTCTGGTGGACTTCAAGAACTGTTGTGCAACTCAGCTGCTTAATCAGCCTTTCCCATAAACAGTGGCTTCATTATTAATGAGCAGCGGAGGTAGAGGGAGTGAGCACTCATTATTGTAGCCATAGCGATTGGCAGTTTGTAAGTGTTTATTTTGTGTATTTTTTGGATTAGTTCCTTTTTATGCTAATGCTCTAGAAATAGTTACATAGAAGCCACTGAACTACAGAAGTTATGCAGACTGACTCACTGCATTTAACATATAGCTGGCACAACTGGCTGTCACATTGAGATCACTGTGAAGCCTTTTCTGTATCATTTGTAAGTTCATGAAAGGTTAAGGAATAAAAAGAAAAGGTTGGGAGAGTCAGGGATAGAGCAGGCTAATGTTACAGGCCCAAAATGTTAAACAGCAATGTCAATGCTACATGACTATTACAACAGGAAATAGGAATGAGAACGCGTGACTTACTGTTCAAGGCAGAAAGGCCTGAGGAGGAGGAAATGGTAATTTTATGTCCTAGCATCTCAATTAGCACTTGAGACCTTTTCGCAGTTGTCTCACAGCCTTCTTGTGTGATTGTCCCCAAATTTCCCCAAATTGTCCAATTCTAGGAAGAATAATAATCCTCTATTCTTTGTTTTATCTTCTTTGTTGCGACATGCCAGAGGCTTTCTCTTACTGAGTGCATGTACATCTGATTTCAGTTAAGATCTGAGTGCTACTGTAATATAAACATATACTATTAACAACATCTCTGCTTCTGCTTTGTTGCAGTGGTTCTCTTACTACATGATAGTTATGAGGCATAATTGAAAAAAGTTCTGTTGTTGCGAAATATCATTAGATATGAAAAGTTGGCTATGCCTTTTTTAATTGCTTTCAGGATTGCTGTTTCAATCCTTCA